ACCCCTATATTTTTCTCTGCATTAGATTCTCCTTTGTAGGGTCATGATGGCCTTAGGAACTCGTTGCATCCTTAAGACACCCAGAGCCTAAAAACTGGCAAAAAATGCTTTCCTTGACTCCCTAAATAAAATTCTTTAATCACAAAATGGGAATAACCACAGGAAAGTACATGTTTTCTACATGTAGAAAATAGAGACAGTTTCCCTCATAAGGTAGAGCTTGCCGCCTGAAGGTGACAGCCCATGTGGGATACCTGCTATCAAACCCCCTTCTTCTGAGACTTTCTTTTCTAGATGTCAGTTTGAAAATGCCGCATTTCACAACCACGTTCAGGATCAGGCCCTAGATGTTGGACCTTGTACTGCCCAGACCAAGAAACCGAGGGGTCCCAGACTGCAAGAGGGCACAGGCCAGGCTGAGGGACCCCCCGCATCCCCCCGAGTGCACAAATTTTTGTGCACCGGGCTTCTAGTATATATATATGTATATATCGTTTTATAAATATATATCTAATCTAATCCTATCTAATAATAGAGAAACATGCAAATTGACCGTATCTTCCCTATACCCACCAGCCATGCCCACTAGCCACAGCCACCAGCCAATCAGGAGCAGATATGCAAATTAACCCAACTAAAATGGCAGTTAGGCAGTTAATTTGCAAAGTAGGCACCAGTGGCCTGGGTCCAGGAAACATCATAGGGCACCAAGGTCACTCCAAGGTAGGCCGCGTGTGTGCCCTGAGCAGCCTAGGAAGGGCCTGAGCGAGGGGACACCTGGGCAGGGCCTGAGCCTGCAATCAGAGCTGAGGGGGGCCCCTGCCAGTGATCGCATGGGGCTGGGGGTCCCCTGCCCAGGCCTAATGCCCTGGCCAGAGGCCTGAGGCCTGGGAATGGGCAGAGCCGTCAATCGGAGGGGGATGGGGGTCCTCTGCCCAGGCCTAACACCCTGGCCAGAGGCCTGAGGCCTGGGTAGGCGATCAGAGCGGGATGGGGGTCCCCTGCCCAGGGCTAACACCCTGGCCAGAGGCCTGAGGCCTGGGAACGGGCAGAGCCGTCAATCGGAGGGGGATGGGAGTCCTCTGCCCAGGCCTAACGCTGGGCCAGAGGCCTGAGGCCTTGGCAGGGGCCGAGCTGGGGATTGGTGTGAACTACAGAGGAAACACCTTTTCTGACTGTTCATTGGCTAAGCTCCCTGGTAATATTCTTAGTAACTTGGGTAATAAGAATCTAAGAAGGTGATATAGGGTTTTTCACGACACTCCTGGAGAAAAAAACGAAGGTCTGCTGCTGGAGAGCTAAGAAGTGTCATATCCTGCGCTAGCCAGTTTGGCTCAGTGGATAATGCCTCGGCCTACTGACCGCAGGGTCTGGGTTCAGTTCTGACCAAGGGCATGTACCTAGGTTTCAGGCTCCTCCCTGACTGGGGCCCAAGTCAGGGCT